CAAATAGGATTTAATATATCTCATTAAAGCACTTTTTACCGCATTTCCCGCATTTTTTTCACGCGTAATTCTTGTACAAACATCTTTACTTTGGTAAAACGGTAAAAACTCTAAGCACAAAATTTATGAACTTAATTTTGCGTAAAAATAAAGTAAAATTAAATAAGATTGATAGTACGCGATGCTTTGAAAAAAATAAGGTAAAATTAAACAAGATCTCATAATTTTTTTTCATGAACACTTTCAGGCAGTGATTTTCCAAACTATAATAACATTGCAAAAAGATCATATTTGTTTGATTATATGATCATTAAATTATTAACATTTAAGTGGATTAGTTATTTTAAAATTCATAAAATTCGGAGCATAAAATTTTCCCGAGCGTAATGAAGGAAAAAAAAAAGATAAAACAAAATATAGAAGCACTCTTTTTTTTAAAGTTTTGTGTGTTACCTATATTTATTGAATATCATGTTCTTCGCCTGTAAACCACATACATTTGAAAACAGCATATCTTTAGAATTTCCGCACTGGAGATAAAACTGTTATTTTCCGTACAGTGCTCGCTCTGAACTCGTTGAGTTTGTTAATCAAAAATTCGTTAAAGTTTTACAAAATATGAAATAGATTAAAACAAATTCGAAATTCGGCCGTCCAGATGCCTATGTTCGAGTGGAGGATTACATTATTCAAAATTTGATGGCTCTAGATGCTGTCGTTTTTGTCACAGTGCGAGAAACATACATGTATTCATGCAGATTTTTCATTATTTAATTTCTTTACATATAATACAGGGCGATAATATTTGGTAACAACAATTTTCAAGGAAACACGGACATTTATAGTAAAACAGCGCAAAATGCCGCTTTGAAACTATCAGCCTTTCTAGGCTACCGTCCCTTTGAGCTAATAAATTAAATTAATAGTAGATAAAAAAAAAATCTTATGCAGAACTAAAAATAAATTTTAAAAATAATCACTATAAAATAGAAGCAAAACTAATTATTACGGTTAAATACAATTTTAATATCAAAATTAAATGTATAAAAATTTTTAAGGAGTCAAAAGTGTTTATCACTATGATGTATTACGAAATAAAATTCCTTTATAGAAATTGTGCTATAATACTCATCTATAATTTAAAAAAAGCAGCACAATTTAGAAGTTTAAACAAAACTTTTCAAAAATTCGTTTTTTAAATATTTTAGTATTTTTTACTTATTTACACCAATAAAAAGCATAAAAAAATAAAAATTGCAAGAGAAAATTGCTTGTTTGAAATTTTCTATTAGTTCAGATTTAAAATATTATTTTCTAAAAGAAGTAGTTACAAATTTCCTTACAGCATAGGAAAAGCCAAAAAAAAAATCCAGTCCTGAAAGCATGCAATAGCTTTATAATTATTTGGAATGTTAATTATGCTCGATAAATATGCTAAATTTTTAAAAATCAATCTCAATTTCAAAAATAAAAATATGTAGAAATTCTAATTTGTGAAATGAGGCGCTACAACCAGCTTTTTCTTGACAATTACACATGCTGCAATAGGCAACCAATGTTAAATTTCTGCAAGCCGTCCCTACTCCTCCGGATGTGATCAAGGTGACAGCCGACAACGTCTCAGACGAGGGAGAAAACCCGTTTGGGTTAGTCTGTTTCTTATAAGGTCCATGCTGATTGGCCGAGTATTATATATATGTACGCCGGTATCAGCGAATGTCTTGTTCTCTTGTGATATTATGAGTAAGCATAATGCAAGTTTGCTTTCAATCAAATGATTTTAAATTTAAAGGCTACAGTGTTAGCTTATTTTATTTTAATTTACGGAATAAAACATGAATTTTATTTAGATTTGTCTTAGCTTTATTTAAGGGAAGCAAAATATGCTTTGCCTTTATCACCACTGCCAACTGAAAGAAGGATGTGGATAGCAGAATGGAATGAAATTGCTTTTACTGACGAGTCACGCTTCTGTCTGCAACACCAGGATGCTTGGATTCGAGTCTGGAGAGACCATGGAGAGAGAATGCTGAATAGCTGCGTTATGCACCACCACACTGGTCCTGCACTGGGTATTATGGTATGAGCGAGTATTGGATATCATTCTCGCACTCCTCTAGTACGTATTGCTTGTACTTTAAACAGCCAGCGCTACATCTCCGAGGTGTTGGAGCCAGTTGTACTTCCTTACCTTCAGGGCTTGCCCACAGCCATATTTCAACAGGATAATGCACGACCACACATGGCAAGCATTATCCAAAAGATCTTCGTCAATCACCAGATTGAATTGCTTCCCTGGCTGCCACGCTCTCTGGATCTTTCGCCAATAGAAAACATGTGGCCCATAGTTGCTAAACGACTGACCCAGATTTCAACTCAAGCTGCCACACCAGATCAACTTTGGCAACGTGTGGAAGCTGTTTGGCCTGCTGTACCCCAAGAATACGAACACATCCAAAGTCTCTTTGAATCAATGCCGAGGCATGTGGCAGTGGTGATCTCCAACAATGGCAGCTACTCTGGCTACTGATTCTGAAAGTAACCACACTTCACAGAAGTCTATAAATTTAATCATTGTCTTGGTCAACATGTTATCTACTAAATAAATTTTGTTGTGATATCTCTTGTTTTTCTTGGTGTTGCAATTTGGGTGGCCAGCAGTGTATTTTAGAAAAATTGGAAAACAATTGAAACAAGTGAAAATGTGTTAAGGTTTTCACTATACAAATTTCTTATCTTGGCAGAGAACAGGCTGCTACCTACTTGCAGGAAATATGTGTTGCAAACCTCATGTAAAAGTGATGTGGTTATATCTGCAATTTGAAAAATTAAGGCTTTTATTAACCATTTGTGGCTCAGTGTTCCACTACATGGAACACCCAAATTGACTCTCTGAAAACCTTAAATTCAACCGTAAAATTACGTACGATTATAAAGAATGCCCTTTATAATAATACTTTGAACTTTTATTCTTTAAAAGTAGATAGCATTATTCAACAAGAGACACAGAATTTTCATTTATTATGGTTATTAAATCCACTTTTTTTCAATAATTTTTCTCTTTTTTTTTAATATTAAAAAAGTTTTATTTGGAAAAGAATTAGGAATAATTTTGCTGGCTGTACTCCAAATTATTTTTTCTATATTTTTTTAAATCTTTCATACAAAAACCCTACACAGAATCATTGAATAAAACCGTGTGTTCCATTAGCGGGAACACTGCGCTTTTAGCGATCTCATGCTGTTACGAATCAGAACATCTGTGCTTAGGAGAGAACATCTGTTGTTTACATTTTCTGTTTCCGTTGTTTTTTGGGGGGCGAGGGGAATGAATTCAAACAAAGCAGTATTGAGGGATGAGGTATGTTTTGTGTTATGGAAGCCTTAATATTGGCATCTCGAATTTTTTGGGAGTCGTTTTTAGGCAGGAATTTTTATTAGTAGCTTGACTCATTTTTACTTAGTCCTGCATGAATTTTTTGCTGTCACTTTTTAGTCTCATTTCCGTTTATTTTCAATAATTGTGTAGATATTTTGTGTGTATGTATATATTATAGGCTTATTTTTCTTTATTGTTATTAATATCAATCATAGTTAATTTTTTACTATTAATTTTCCATAAATGGCATGGAGAGATCTAACTCTTTCCGAAGCGCTAAATGTGTTTAATGAATTACCCTCGGATTACAGCCCAAAGATTTCCATTTAAATTTGCTGTGTTCCCTCTGTGCCATGACAGCGTCAGAGATAACTTTGAAGAGGTGACTTCTTTCAAGACCTGAAGATACTCCCAGGCACAAAGTAAAGGTTTCTGGGGGGGGAGAGGGAGGAGGGAGGGGGAAAAACGCTTACAAGTAGTTTTGTTGAAAACACATTTTTACTGGTTTCAGAAAGGTTATGCGTTAGACGACAAGACTTGGTGGTGTGGCACATTGGTAGCACCCCGAGCAAAAAAGCCGCAACAAAAAACAAGGTTTCCCAAAACAAGTTTTGTGGAAACAAAAAAAAAAAAACCTGCAAAGTCAAAAGGGTGGTTTTGTGCTTTCCATCAAAAAAGGTTGTGGACTTTGCTTTTTTTTTTCCTCTTTTTCTTAAAAAGTTCACAAAGCTAAAAGGAAATAGGGAAAATTTGGTAAAATTTTTGTGTGTATATAGGACTGGTTATATCGATATTTTATCTCATTTATCCGTATATATTCAAGAAATTTATTGTTGTATATATCAGAAAACCATATATACAGGCCTTAATACAGAGTTTTTTCATTCCTATGGCAAAATGCTTTCTACTCATTTTCGTGCTCACTGCAATTGCTCGGCTTAGTCACACTTTTAAAAACGCTCTGGCAGACAGTGTTCCAACCTCAAGGAAAACAACCCACAGAAATTAAAAACTGAAAGTGCAAAAATTTTTACAAAAATTTACCTATATACTCCTTTAGGACTAAATAGATTGCATACAACTTTTTTTGTTGAAATTCCGACGTTAACATATAATGCGCCGCAAAGGGTTAAGTCTCCACATGGTGTTAATATATGATGGAATAATATCATAGCATCTGGCACTGCTGTTCTGAAAAATGTGTTTTATAGAAAGGATTTATATACGCTGTAACTTGAATTTCTTGGAATTAATTTTATACTAGTAAGTGTTTCATAACTCTTTAGTTTAAACTATTTTAGGTGCTTTAAGGAATCTAAATGCAAGGACTAGATTCAGTTATTTATTTATATTATTCACAGAATTATCTTCTAAACTGCAGATTAAAATACCTGAAAATAGTATTCTGAGTATACATTTTATTTCCAGTATTATGTTTTTTCCATTCTTTGTAATATGCCTGGAAAAAAAAATATATATTTAAATCTTATTGTCATTAACAAATTATAGAATTAGAAAAATTAATATTTTATATATGTTCTTAAAACTATGTTATTAATTTAAAAAAAAATTATCTTACCAAATATTATTTAATTCATTTTTTGCTTACTTGTTCAAGTAATAGTTTTCAAAAAGCTTTTCTCTAGAAGGGGAAAATTTCTATCTATTTGTCCTTCATCACAAAATTTCCCTGTAAAATAAAACAATATTTTTATGAATGTTTCTGAATTAAAATAGGAAGGAATAATCTGTAATATTAACAGCTGTTGAATTATTAAAATTTTAAAAAATGTTTTTATTTAAACTTATATAAAAAAAAAACACAATAAATCTTGTACTTCAGATAGGTTATTAAAACATCAGAAATATTATAAGTTTCAGAAATTTTATTGGAACAACTATATTATTAGAATATGCTATGGGAAAACTCTTAACTTTATAATAACATGCCTTATTTCATTTAATTTTTGGCCAATACTTATTCTGATATTGCGCATATGTTTATTAAATGCACCCCCATTATTATTTCTTAATAATTTTATTTCCTAATTATTGTGACTTTCTGTTTCTGAAATTGACTCTTTCCTTAAAAACTTGATATAAACATAATAAATAATAAAAATTGTGTACAACATATAATAGTTTATAAATTTAAAAGAAATATGCACATTTAATGCATGATGCATAAAATTTAATTTTTCCATTATTTATGAACTAAAAATGAAAAATAAGTTAAAAAACTATCTCAATATTTGCATTAATATAATACCTATTTGAGAATTCAATGGAATTTTTCCCAGGAAAGGAACATTCATTTCTTCTGCCATTCTCTGAGCTCCACCAGTTGTTGGAGGAAAAATTTCAGTTGATACCTAATAATTAAAGGTAAAAAGAATAAGAGCCTAAAAAGAATGAAATTGATCAAGGGGGGAATACAGCTGTAGACGAATAGAAAAAAAAAAATTGAAAACACGTTTCTATGTCTGCAAATGATTTAACACCTTCCCTGCCGCGTGGGGCGTATGCGCCCCATGCTAAACTTTTCCGTTCAAGCCATTTGGTATTATCATTGTAAAATGAAGAATTTTTTAAAAATTCATTATGCAGTCAATTATGGGCATCTTAATACTACTGCTATGCTCTCATTTAATCGTGGGGCATGGACAACTTTTTTTTGATCGCCAAAAACAAAATAATACAAATGTAAAGCGCACGCCCCACGCGGCCTGAACGGGAAGTCTTCAAAAAATGAAAAACGGTCTGGCAGGGAACATGTTAACATTTAAATTGAAATTACAGTACCTGCCACATAATAAAATCACTAGTTAATATAATTAGTTACTTATTTCAGTCAGATTTCCAAGTGCAGAATCAAATAAGCTTAGAATCATTAAGAAGATACCACTTATATCCCCGTTGGGATATCCCTTATAAAGTACCTGTTCATAGTTATAATAATAAAATCTCAAAAAAAGTGTCATTTGATGTTTCCTGTCTTAACAAGGGGATTTGAATGTGAAGTTCAAGAGGTGAAGTTGTATAAGTTTCCTAGAATCAGTTGCAGGAGTAAGAACATGATGTACTCCATGTAAAGCATAGAAATGTGTTTAAAAAAAATGTGTGCGAGAGAGAAATTGTATGGAGTATGAAACTGTTTTCTGGAAGTATTTTGAAATTGTGAGGCTGAAAAATGCACCAATAACTAGGACAGTCTTCATAGGAAAAGCCAAGGAACTTGCCAAAATGATGAAGGAAAATTTTATTCCAACTAATGAATGGTTGAAAAGATGGAAAGAGAATTACAACATAATCCTATGTAGTTGTATAGAGAAAGAAAAACACAGATCAATAAACAATTGAGATTTTTGGACAAAAATCATCTTGCTCAAACTTTTGAGTTACACTCTATATCCAGTTTATAATACTGATACAATTGTACAGACCTTTTCCAGAGAATACCTTATTATTCAAAATTAATTTTCAGCAGGATACAAAAGTCAAGCAGTGGCAGCCTATCAATAAATAAATAATAACAAAATATTTTTAAAAAATATGGATGTCTTCAAGAAGATGTGTTATGTATGCTGAATGCATACAAGTTGAAGAAACTTGTAATGATTCATTTTTGGAGTATATTGCTATAAATGAAAATTTGACAACAGTGTGCTAAAAAAACTGAAAACATATTGTAGATATAATTAAAGAATGAGAGGAAGAATAACAGGATGAAGTTGAAAATAGTATCTACTCCAATGCAAAGAATACTGGTGTGTCAATAACCACCAAATCATGAAACACACTTCAAATTCTTTGAAGGATTCTAGAATTCAAAAGTAGATATGGCAAAGTTATCAACAATTTTAGAAAATACTATCAAAAGACTTTATTGTGAAATATGCAAAATAATTTTTTTTGATTGGAAAATATAAATGTTATCAGTATTACATACATGCATTCTTTTAAAAAATATGCATATATTCCCCTCCCCCATTATTATACGCAGTCAAAAAGCAAAATTAATTTTTGCAAATGTAGGAAGGAGTATAAAATTAATCTAAGAAGTTGAGTTTTAGTTCTTCAAAATTGGTAAGGAAAGATTTAATAAGATATGTGCAAAAATTCTGATAAAACAAATATGAAAAGTGGAGAATTAGAATTGTGTTTTCTATCATCATAATGTATTTCCTATTACCAAGGAAGATATATGTGTATATTTATTATGTTCATTCTGTTTTAATGGTAAAATTACTCTCAGTTAAATTCTTCTAGTCTGAAGAGTTTTCTAATTAATAAGATACATTTGTAAGCAGCGGTATCAATTATATATATATATATTTGTTTAGATTTTTAATATTCACACTTAAACTTTAACAAAATATAAAATAAATTACCTTACACTTTGGGCATACGAAAACACTCATATTTTCTACTACTCCAAGAACACGAAGCTTTACTTTCTCACAAAAATTTATTTCTTTACGAACATCTAAGAGAGCTGTTTCCTAAAAAATAAATAAGTAGTAAAAATTTTCAACATGCACTTTTATTTAATTAACATTTCTAAAAAGCGTTTTCTAAATTAATCCTTCATAAATATATATGCTGAATATGTTTCAAAAGATATATGAAGAGTCTATTCTCAAATCTATGAAATGAATTTCTTAAAAAGTCCTTTTTGATCTTTTTTTTTTTTTTTTCTTTTCTTTTAACCAAAGAGGCAGTTTATTCTGAAAAAGAAAATTGTTCTTGAATCTTTAAATAATGAATAATCACTTAATGTTTAAAATTATAGTTATAGTTAAATGATTAATTACATGTTATCAAATTTTCCCCTCTGGCTAGTGATTGCATACAATGATACGAGCAACAGCAGCTCATGCAGGCGCTTTGTTAAATTTATCTCTAATATGAGAGCCCCTTGTTCTTTTTGTTTGTGTGATAAACTTATGTCTTGCATGTCATAATCATATTCGGACTTGCATTAGCCTTTCTGTTCTTGAGAATTAAGGTCTCGTTTGGTTCATTTAAGTTAGGTCAAACATATTTTAGATTTAAACAAATGCTTCAGCATTTGTTGTTCAATAAGTTTATTGTTGGGAATGACAATGTTTACCATCAAGACAAGGAGATGAAATTCTTTCTTAAAGTCTTTCATTAAATGTTTAGTTTTTAACTAAATGTTCATTGTTTAGATTTCCTTAAAAGAGGAAACCTCTAAGATTTAATCCTAAATCTTACATACAAAATTTTTTGGAAAATCATTCCTCAGCCTTGGATTCTCTAAAAAATCAACTGACATGAAAAAACAGAAAAATGATGTTATTTACACCAAGTTTGTGGTATGAACTGCATTGTATAATTAAATTTATTTATTATTTTATGTAATATCCATGTATTTGTAGTTCAAAGGGACTTTGTCCCTGAGGGACTATTGTTTTTGTTTTGCAATTTTGCATTGAATCACTCTGAATGTCCATTTCACTTTTCAAACTGTTGCCACCAAATATTATTGCCCTGTGTAATATTTGAAGAATTTAAATAATGAAGCACCTGCAGAAATGTATGTAGTTTCTCGCATTGTGATGAAATAACTGTACCTAGAGCTATCAAATTTTGAACGACGTAATACTACTGCGAATGTGGGCATCCGGAACGCCCCCCCCCCCCCAATTTGAAAATTGGAACAAAAACTTGTCTTATTATCGATTTCATATTTTTGTAAAACTTTAACGAATATTTGTGATTAAACAAACTCAAGGATTTTCAAAACCAAAAAAGCGCGCAGTTGCAACGTTTTGTACAGAAACAAAAAAAAAAACATTTTATCTCAGCACGTGTGAAAGATTGTGTTATTCGGAAAATTCTAAAAGGATCTGCTCTCAATTAAAATTTATTTTGTGATACTGCTATTGAACTGATTTATGGTTTTAAGTTTGGGGTTGAAAGAACCTGATATTAATAAATACAAGGTAAAATACAAAATGTTTAAAAAAATTTTCCCATTTGGACTAATTTATTTAAAATCTGAAAAACCTTTCAGGATTTTCTTTTATTTACGTTTTATTATTCATATCATTTTATTTATTATTTTGTAATTATAAATTTTTAAAAAAGAGTTTTCTCATTTTAAAATGCTTGGTTTCATGCACAATTACTGTTATTTCTTATTTCTGTAAAAAGGAAAATATTTAATAAGAATTTGATATTCTCTTTTTGTATGGTAAAGTTTTTTGTTACAATTTTATACCCTTTCTTACAATTTATAGTTACCCAGTGATATATATGAATTTCCTCTATTAAAGTCTTGATACTGAAAATAAATATGAAGGCTGACATATATTTTTTCTGAGAAAAACTTGACCAAAAAATTTTATATTTACCTTATATAAAAATCTAAATGATAAAATTTCTAACTGATATTTTATTTATAAAACTTGAAAATTTTTCAGAGAAATATATTTTGTATTAGTGCTAAATTTAATCAGATTATTGCTATAGTGATATGTGCTTATGCAAGCCCGCTATGTATAAAATAAATAACATGTGTACCATATTCTCATGTGTATAAAATACACCATTAATTTTTAACACTAATTTAAAAAAAAAGTTCTCAAGAATAAGGTGCAGCTAGCCTGTCTGTAATCTTCAATAATTTTATCATTTTGGTAGTGTAAAAGGAGCTAAAACAAAAATAGTATTTATCACACACCGAGACAAAATTTTTATTTTTAGTCATAAGGAATATGTTTCTGTGTATAACACCTCTTATTCACTATCACTGTCGATACCACTAAATTAGCTGCCTGCACTACAAATGTCACATTCGCCGATATTCATATTCCACAGCATCCATCTAGAGCAGACATTGGCAACCCTCCCTTTTTTTTTAGCTGCGAGTCAAAATCAACCAAAACATGTGCATTAAGAAGACATTTTGGGTCAATGTTATTTTCATTTTAGAAGTCTTTCTTCTTAAATAGTAAGATAAATTTTATTGGGGAAATAATAATAGTAAGATAAATTTTATTGAGTAAATAATAATAGTAAGATAAATTTTATTGAGGAAATAATTTTAATACTTTAAAAATAAAATTAAAATTCTAATTATTATGAAAACAAACATAACTGAATTGACTTTATTTTTCTCTTGGATGTCAGTGGCTTCTCTGATGCTGAACTTGTGATGTTAGTTTAGTAAATTCTAGCTTATAGTTAGTTGCATTAACATGAATTCAGGCACCTGAATTTCTGGTAATTCAGCTGCTCCTGTTCTTACTTAAAATAAATTTCATGTGTGAAAATATTTTCTCACATTTATAAGTTAAACCAAATATGGACAAAATGGCACAGACTTTTTTTTTTTTTAATTATGAATCAGCATTGCCAAACTTCTTAAAATTTCTCCTTAAAATTCTTAAATTGATTTCTCCTTAAAATGTTACAATTTTTATTTTTAAAGAATAAAAATGCATATTCATTAATGCTTTGTAATCACACAAAGTGTTACAGTTATTATTTAATTTTTTAATGCATTCTTTAAGTGCTTATTTCATATTGATGTTAATCCTTATATATTATATTTTATTCCTGAAACTCCAAGTGGGTCACTTGAAACTATGAAATGGGTCACTTGGTAACTTGCAGGACATAAGTTGATATCTAGATCACGGCCTGATCTAGATCACTTGATATACCACACTTCAAAAAGCCTCGCATTTTCTCAGGCTACCAGAATCCATGCTCACATTGAACATCTGATTATTCCTTTTTGGTATAATGTCATGGTTCATGTACACATCCAGTCACAACAATCCGTTGTAGAGTATCCTAACATTCACTCTACAACGATGTATTTTATATTCAGTTGTTAAATATGCACTGCTATGTTATGTTGCACATGCTACTGTGTTTCCACATAATTCTACAGTATATGTAGCTTAATGTGATTGGTGTTAATGCTATCGTTCAGATATTGTTATCAAATTGTCAAAGTCATTATCATTCAGATATTGTTATCAAATTGTCAAAGCCATGCCCGTTTGTATTTGAAAACATTGAAATAAATCATTTATTTTGATCAATAATTCAGTTAATGTGATCAAAATATTAAATAATAATTTTTTTAAGTTGTTAAAAGGTCAACAAGTCAAGTCAAAA